GCCTGCTTCGCTGCTTCTGCTCCTTTCCCCCTCTTCCTCCCTGCCGTTGGGGAGAGGGCTCTGACACCGGGCTCCTCGCCCTGCAGTACCGCTCCCCCAGGCAGTGCGGGATGTGCCGTGAGCTGCAGAGCCTTTGCTGTGCTTGGGCCTGGCTCTCAGGTGGGTGGTTAAAGGAGAAGGCATCGTGCCTTCAGCAGAGGGCTGTGTGGACAGATGGATGTGGCTACAAAGAACTATATATGGAAAGGGAACGTAGATAGGATGTATTTCCATCAGAAAAAGTGAGGAGGTTGTAGTGGTGTGAGGCAGCTTTCAAGCAGGTGTAGTTGTGCTGGTTCTGCTAATCGGTTATTAAAACAAACAGTTGTGCCCCCAGCCAGCCTAATTTCCTGTAGCTTGTGTTACGTGTGCTGTAGGGCCGAGAGAAACGGTTCCTCAGTTGTTCAGAGCAAAAGTAAATCTGTCATTCATAGTCTGCCCTGCAGATCCCTGGTTGCTCTGGGAGTCTCTGGGCTGTTTTCTGCTGGCAGAGATGGAGCTTTTCTGAGAGTGAGGAATGGCCCACGGCTCAAGTCCTGGCTCTGGCTCGAGGGGCTGCTCTCCACGACAGGGATCTCTGCTTGCTGTTGCTCAACACCTTGACAGAGAATCGAGTTTAACTGGAGCAAGACTTCTCGGGAACACAACAGCTATTGCTCTGCAGATTTGCTTGCTACATTATCCTGAAATGACTACATCAATAGATAAGAGTTTATAAATTCTGTAACTCTGAGCATGTGACGGAGCTCTTATCTACACCAGCAGAATAGTTGGATTGTTTTTTTTTTTTTGTTGACCCCCAAAGAAAGATGGTTCTGCTGAGTTTGAATGAAACCCTGCCCTGGGCGCAGGCTGCCATCCCTCCGGCTGTGCTGTGTAGCGGTGCCAGCTGGCTTGGGCCCTGCACTGCCCAGTGAGGATGTGCCTGAGCTGTCGGTGTCGGTAAACAGGCAGGCAGAGGTTGGCTGCCAGCGGCGAGAGCCGCGTGAGCCAAATGGGCAGAGGTAGCAGCTCTCCCCCCTGCCCAGAGTCCTACTTCCCAGGCTGTCCCTTGTGAGCTGGCTGAGCTCCGCTCGCTGCCGGGCAGGATGTGAAGGATTTTGGCTTTGCTCATGTCCTCCTCCCTCACCCCTTGTTACAGGACTGTCCCCCGCCCTACTTCAGCAGCAGCCAGCGGCTGGTGGGTCCCCAGTGCGGAGCATCACGGCTGGAGAGCGCTGCCGAGAACCCTGGTGTGCAGGTGACGGCTGGGTCCCAGATGGGAGCTGGGGGGGAAAGGGTAGCAAAGATCCTGGTGAGCTTGGGAAGAGACTGTGGTTATGGGGAGCGGGGGAGCTCCTGCGGCATAGGGAGAAGGTGCTGGACAGCAGGAGCAACTTTGGGAAGTGCTGCCTGCATGGAAAAACCTGGGTGGGGCAGGGATACTGCAGAAGACACCATGGTGCCCTGAGGTGTTTGGGCATGAAGTGCCAGGAGGATCCCTCGGGGCTTGGGATCTTGCAAAGCAGGTCATGGTGTAACTGCCTCGTGGGAGGGAGGATTTCCTCTCTCAGGGTTCAAGGAAGGGCACCTACAACTTTGAACCCTGAAGTAACTCGAGGTGGCACCAGGTCGTACACTTCTGGCCAAGAGACCTGCCGCTGCGCTGACCTTTCTCTTCTGGGCTGGGCATTTCTAGGGAGACGAACTATTCTGCGTTGGAACCCCCAGCAGCTACCAGCTCCCTTCCTGGGAACAACCCCGCTTGCCAAGCTACGAGAGCGTGCGGAAGAAAGATCGCCAGCGGGAGATCCATCAGATGATTGCCGAGAGGTTTGGGCTGTGGGCAGAGCCTTCCCAGGAGGTGAGCTCCCCCTCCCTTGCACAAGGGTGCGGGCAGAGGCCCGGGGGCAGTCCCCGCTCCAGTCCATATCGAGGCCTTGCTTCACCAGTTTGTGGTAGCTAAGGACTCTGTTCTCTGCAATTGCCTTTCTCTGATAGCCGTTATCTCTGGGAAGAGCACAAAGTGTATCAGGAAGCTCCTTTGGTGTACGTCTGTGCTGGTTAATGATCGATCTCTCCCAGGGCATTTGCAGAAATGCCTGTGCCAGGAGGCAGGGCAGAGCCACTGCTGAAAGGGCAGGCTCTTCGGATCCTCCGCTTGGTACGAGTCCAAGCTGGGAATGTTATTTTTAGATCTGTAAGGCTTCCATAGTGTCTTGCTCCCTTCTCCCTGCAGGACACCTCAGGGAGGCCTCTTGCTATTATCTTGAAGTGTTTATGCCTTATTTTTGAGCAGGAGGCTTTGCCTGTTACATTTAAGATTTGCACTCCCGCAATAGAACAAAGAAAAGCGAGTGCATCTGCCAAGTAGGTCCTGCGGCAGCATCCCAAGAGACTCCTGTTGAACAAAGAGACCTCATTGACTAAAGTGAAACAGAAACATTTGAAACCCTGAGTTAGAGCATTAAAGGTTCACCAGTTTACCTGGATTTTGAGCTCTTAAGGCTGTACCATAAAGTCTGGCATAGTCAGAACTTGCTACTTGGTGTTTGGAGCTGTAACTAACAATACCTGCCCTGAAAGCAGAGCACCAAGGGCACAGGAGAGTAAGGCCCCAAGGACGAGTAGTTAAGGAACTGCAATGGGAGATCTTCCACAACATCCCTGTACCACTCCTGTCACTCGTTATGGGGAGAAAGCTAGCCCAGCTCCGCCAAAATAAACGTAACAACAGCCCAGAGGTTCCTCTCTGCTGCTGTGCAGTGAGAATCAGTACCAAAACCTGAGTAGAAAGCCTGGTTTGTAGGTTCTTGTATAAATCCCAGTCATTGATCCTTAGTCAAAGGAAAGCCAACGACAGTCCTCTTTTAACAAAAGTCAAGTCTTTTCTGGCCTTGAGACAAGTAGTGACAAGTCCCCCTGAAGGGGAACAGGGAAGAGCAGGAACCTGGCACAGACAGTGTGAGGGGGGAGCGGGGGCAATGTGCCTCTCCAGTGGATTTCTGCCCCACCGTGTTGCAAACCAGTGCCAAGCACTCACCTTCCAGTGTTCATCTAGCCAGCAGCCTGCTGCTCTGAGGACTGCAGGAATTTAATTGCAGGCTGGTGGTGGTTGTGAGCCTTGTCATCTGCTCTGTAAGAAGAGGTGGGATAATCTCCTGGTTATTTCTGATCAGCTGTAATGCTCTTCCTCTCTCCTCAATAGATGCCGCCTCCCTACGAGCATGCTCTGAGGCATCCTCCAGCTTTCTCAGGAACATTAATAAGCTCAGAGACCTTGGACAGACGTGGCATGCCAGACCCTTTCCAGGCCCCTCTCAGCTACCAAACTCAGCGAAACACGGCTGTGTAAGGCTTCAGCCTCAGCGTACTGCTTCTTCCCGTGGTGTCAGCGACAGAAGTGCCTGTGACATCGTTCTCATCACAGGGAACGGCCAAACATCAGACCTTCACCCAGATTCGCAATCAAGCCAAGACAAAGGCAAGACAGACCCAGCCAGCAGAGACGTCCCTCCTGCAGCACAAGGACAACCATGGAGCCACTGCCAGGTACGGCACTCTGAGAAAAGCAACCAGGGACGTCTGCTCGCTCTTCTCTGGCAAACGTACTGTGACCAAAGGTGACGGACCAGCTGCTTGCTTCCACACAGGGGGCAAAGCCAAGGTGAAGGTCTGCTCAGCCAGAACTCCTCCAGGCAGCTGGCGTATCATACCTCTGTGAGGCAAGCACTGCCAGCCGTACCAAGGATCAGACCTCAGACAGCAGTCACGTTGTGCTACTTCACTTATTTCTTAGGTTGTAAAATGTTTTACTTTATCAGTGTATTGGCTGCCAGGTGGGAATCCTCACCTGTGGGCAGCAGAATGAATCTGCATCAGAGCATCGCTGTGTGCTCTCGCAGCAACGGGCCTCTGAGACTGGGAGCAATTTTGGATGGACTTCAGATAAAGATCTGGAGAGGCTTCAGGAGTTGTGTCACCTGCTGTACGCAAATACCAACCACCAAGATGAACCGTGCCACTGGATACGCAAGCTGGGAAAGGACAGAAGTGTGGACAAAATAGCTGGTGGTCTCCATGAAGAACATAAAGCAATGGTGGACGTGCGTGGCTGACCCAGTTTACCCAGTTGTCTTCTGCAGAGCAGACAATCTAATAATGTCAACACTGGTGTCCTTACACCACCAATTTTGATAACCTGTTTTCTACTGCAGAGCCGATGTTTCAAATTGTTTACAAACCTCTAGATAAAATGAGATCAGTTTGGCCACAAGGCATTTGGGCTCCTTTATTTCGAGCAATATAAGCTCAAAAATGTCACGGAATGACTTGGAGAAGACAAAAGGCTAAGTCTTTTGGACTATGGCTTTATGATACACCACCAGCCACTGAGATTGAAATACCACCTCAGACTTGTGCATCTTATGTAAAATTAGTCATGAGTTAGCTTTACAAGCATGAACTTGCCTCACATGGCTAGTAAATGGAACACTTTGAGATATCTCAGTTAATCATTGAGGTACGTTAGATAGAAGGAAAAATCTAGCTTCCTGCCATGCAGAGTTAGGTGCAAGTGGAAAAGGATCTCTTCTGCAGCATTTTGAATTAAGATACAAATACAACAGTAATGTCTAAAAATGAGTAAAAATAGATAGAGGGAATTATTAGTGGGTCAAGTACTGACATAAGAGTGATTGTAGAGAGAACTCATCCAGTGGCACAACGGAAAAGGTCCTCCAGAGGAAGGCAGCTCCAGATACTGAATAAACATAAATAACACATTCTATGAACAGCCAAGAGCTTCAGCAGCCCCACAGCATTTATTAAACTCTCTTACAAATGCCAGCAGGTGATCCCAGTGCCTGAACACGGACCACGTGTGCTTTAGGAGCAAGAAAACAAAGTCCTAAACTGGTATCTTCAGAGCTAGAATATTCCTGTCCTCGGATGCCAGTCCAGCTGTAGTGGTCTGTCCCAGCCTTCCCATCCATCCCTACGTGATGCAGGAGGCTCAGAGCATGGTGACCAGTTTAAAGCTTCCTACTTCTGTGGTAGGGACAACATTGATAAAGGTTTTATAAAGAATCGCTCCTTTCGGTAGACAACAGATCACTTCCCTGCTCTCGCTGCTGCGGGGCAGAGGTATGTAGACCTCTTTGGTGTATCTCACAATCCCATCCTCCAGGGCGTAGAGTGTATTGTTACGGCCCATCCCCACCTGGAAGAGGATGAGGAGTGTTAGAAAGGAAAGGCTGGAGGTCCACCACTAAAGCAGATCTGATCAGTGGCCTGCCTCATTTAATATCCTGGCTTCAACAGCATCTGCTGCTTTGTATTTTAAAATACAAGAAACCCATACTGCTTGCTTCCAGCTATCAGTATGCAACGGGGCTCGTTACAAGGGAGGAAATACCGATTCCACCCTGAAGCACAAGCACCTGGTTAGGTTACAGAAGTGTTTTGGGATAGCCATAACTTTCAGACCTTTCCTGAGTCACATGGACACAGGTGTGACTTAGCAGGCTCTGTGACTAAGAAACACCAGGTAAAGAAACCCAGTTTCAGGGTTATGTAGAATATAGGGAAGAGCATTAAGAACGAGCTTGAAAGAGAGGAGGCACTGAGTATGGGACTCTGTTGTGGGCTGCTGTTCTCTGAGACCCAAGGAAGGGAGAAGACAACTTACGTGAGCCCCTGGATGCCAGCGTATCAACCGCTGCGTAGCCAAAGTGTTGCCTGCATGCACAAATGCACCTGCAAGGGAGTGACAGTCAGACTGCAGAGAAATGGAGCTCCCTGAAGCCCTAGCAGAACATAAATGGCTCCAGGACTTACAAAACTCAGCTTTCTGTGGGAATTTTCTAAGGGAAAAATTACTTCAAATGCTCAAAGTGTCTAACCAAAAATGCTGTTAGCAGGAAATAACGGGCAATTGATATACGATGGCAAAAAGCAATTCTAATCTTTGAAAAGATTACTTCTAGGGTACAAGGCACTTTCTGGTTGCTGAAGGCATTAGTTTTATTACCTTTTACATCGATATGTTTTCATCAGAAAAGCTAATAATTATTAAGCACTCAGCTGCAAGAATTTGTACTTTGGCTTCGGCTAAGCCTCATAATTCTCTCCTTTGTAAACATCGAAAATGCCCAGCTTTTCAACACAGCGTGGGGGGAAAGTGCACTTGAGTTATTACGTGTCCCACAGCGTACCCTCCTCCCAGGTGCTCCAGAGAGGCGAAGTTAGAATCAAAGTACATTTTCTGTAGGCAATTTCAGCTGGCTGCTCGCAGACCCAGCTGGGAAGGAGGCTGACTCACCCTGCCCTCCCGCTGGCTACCCTTGATCGTGAGGTTTCACTGAACCTCCCTTTTCCTTTCTCTTGGAAGAATGCCCTGGCCACCTCCTACTGCAATGCTCAACAACTGACACCGATACCAGGGGAGAAGCTGTGAAGAACCCCATGAAATGCAAATAAGACTCAGCAGATACTCAGACCTACCTTCTACTTTTTTGAATCCGTAGCGCTTCCCAGGGCTGCGGCCACCTAAATTTTTTGAGCTGCCCCCAGATTTCTTCGAAGCACATCTGACAGCCACCAGGCTTGTTTGGGGAGTAGTTAGAACTAGGTTCAAAGCAAGAACAACAACGTCAGCTGAAAAAAACTATTACGCACGCTTTCTTTTTTCAGATTTAAAGGATGTTGGTTAAGCCAGGCTTTAAAACTAAAGGCAAAAGAAAGCCCCAACGGGAAAAAAAACAAACCAGTACTTCCAAGGTAAACCATAATTAGACCACCATGGCCTAAGTCTCCTGCAAAGAGGCCACATGTCAAGTACCGCTGCTGCCCAGGGAGGAATAAAACTCTCAGCAGTGATGTTAAAGGACATACATAAATTCATGTTTCAGCGAGGCCTTGTAAAATGAGGTACAGATGTTACTGGTTGCTGTGGATTGGCCTTATGTTGCTTTGAGAAAAGACAAGTGATGATCTGTTTCAGTTTCTTCTTTGACCGAATGGTATTTACTTACACAGTAATATTTTGAAATCTTACAAATGAGAAGACTCCAATTCAGGACAATATATAAGCATATATAGAATTGCTATCCTGAACATACAAATTGAAGCACTTGTGTAAATCCTTGAGTCACAATCAGGACAAGTCAAGGAAAAAAAATCAGTTGTTACAGACACTGATTTTCTCTGGAACAAAAAATATCATTCACACTACAAACTTCTTCCTTAAATAAACAAACAAACAACACTGACAGAAAACACACTAGTTTTCTTATAAAAAAAAGCTAAGCCTCTAGTGAACTTCTGTCTGTTACAAGTGATTGAAATGTAATTTGTTCTTCTTAAAAATCTCTTCAGGACCTCCTTTTATGCAGTTAGCAGGCAAATCCAATTTTTCTGATCCCTCTATTTAGCCTCTTAAGCAGCAGGTTAGTATAGAATAGTGGTTATCATAACATTCTTGTTTCCTTAAAATAAGTAAACCCACTGGATTAATTTAATCTTAATTAAATTACCATTGATACCCAGTGAGCTAGAAATACTGTTGAGAAAAGGGTAATTGCTCTACAAAAACCCATTAATTTCAGGAGCTTACCCATTAAGTAAAAGAAAGGCTCTGAGACTTGACAAACTACAGGGAAGTAGGCAAAGATGAACAATAGTTACAGTTTCATACACACAAATTCTATGAAGTCATAGTCCAATTAACTTTTATCAAAGAAACTCCAACAGGTTGATTCCAGGGTTACATTTTGTGTTGCAAGAAAGACGTTTTCTAACAGTAAGATGAACCTCAAAACATCAGATGTGCATGAAAAAGCAGTTATCTAGAGAAGACTGAGACAGAGTTTGTAACTTGATAGAAGTCATATTGGGAATCAGTGGAAAAACTTCACAATTCTGACATTCCGCCAAAGAAACCATGAGAATGCTTCTGCCTGTAACATTTCTAGATTAGAAAAAGGGATTTTTAAAGCCTCCTGACTATTGCACTGCGCAAGGACAGAGCAGCACCCCTTGCTGTTGGGTTTCTACCTAGCGCACATGAATACTGTTTTTCCAAAGATGACTTTTTCACCATGAGGGCAGTCAAGCAGCAGCACAGAGAGGTTCTGCAGTCCCCATCCCTGGTGGGTTTTGAGTCCAGAGGGGATAAAGCCCTCAACACCCCCGCCCTACCTCAGAGCTGACCCTGCTTTCAGCAGGTTGCACTACGAACCACCTGAGGCCCCTTCCCGCATGAATCCCGCTACGCGATCCGGTAGCGCCAGGGCCAGAAACCCGTCCGTTTCACCACTGCACCCTCTCAGATGAGCCGTGGCCTGAGGTAAAGGCAAAGACCTCCCCTGGGGCACCCCCTCCCGAGCTCAGCCTCCCACCCCGTGGAAGGGTAAAGCTAGAGATGGAGATAACCCCCT